CCAACTAGTCAGGAGGCTGAGATCTGAGGACCATGGTTTGAAGCCAGCCAGGGCAGGAAAGTCCATGAGACTTTTATCTCCAATCAATGACTTAAAAACTGGAAGTGTGCTCTGGCTCAAGTAGTAGAGTGCTAGCCTTGAAGCTCAGGTACAGTGTCCAGATCCTGAGTTGAAGCCCCAGGACTGGAAAAGAAAATTGTAGTAATCTGTAGGTAGAAATGAAGAACCTTGATGTATATTGACAACAAAGTTTTTAGTTTAAAATAGGCTCTGAAAATAATTAAAAATCAATCCTCATATTTTTCAAGAGGTCTTAGTATGGGGGAAAATGGCCACGTAAGTCTTACTCTTGATGTTCCCAGAGGCCTGAAGTTCCACTGCAGTGGAAAGTCCCTGTTACTTTAAAATGTACCATTTAGAACCTATAGCAACACAAATGACTAAAATGTCAAACATCTCTGATGTTATCTGCCATCCAGTTCTTTAGTCAGTGATCAACACACATTTAGAGGTAGGTCTTAAATTCCATTTGTTCAAAGGGGATGTGGTAGTGGGAAAATTGGATAAGCAGAGACTCAGTGGAAATGTCCTTTGATTCTTGCAATCTTGCCTGGTTCCATGGAAACACAGACTCAGTTCTGAGAGCTTTGCTGAAGCTGATGTTGTTTGCTTAACCTGCAGGCATATTAAAAAAAATGGTGGTGACTATTAGTGTCTGGACGGGAAGTAACTTCTCTATTCTTGGCAAAAATGAACATGTCTCTACAACTTTCAAATGAAGAATGATTTGTAATCTCAACCCCAAAAGCTCTGGTTAATATTGAAATGTGAGAACTTTGGCACCGGAATAAGCTTAGGATAGCCTATGGGACAACTGGATTCCTTGGGTTCCATCTTCCACAATTCATCTCACTGAAATCCTGTCTCCACCTGGATGTGTCACCAGCCAGATTATCCCAGGTGGCTTTTTGTTTGTTTTACTCTGAAGAGAAACAGTAACATCCAAGATCTTTGTGAGAACCTATCAAACATGTTCTTTTTTTGTTTATCCTCTCTTTGGAGGATTCTGAGATGAGGGCACATGGGGTGAGAGCCTGCAAGGGAAAGAGTGATCCCAGGGGCAGCCCTGAGGGTGCTGTATCTTCTAGACTTCCCAGAATACATGAAAGAGACCTGGACACTCCATGATGACTGTTAGGTGGAAGGGAATTTGGCCAGGGAGTGCACAGAAGAAACAGGGGATGGTTTAGTGTACCATTTGGCATAACAGGCTGTGTTGTATATAAACACTTGCCTTCTGATCCAAACATCCCCAAACCAATTACCCGTCTATCTCATTGTAATTCATATCAGGTTAAAAAAGGATACACATACACACAAAGTCTGTTTTAACCTGAAATAGTTCTGTTGATATTTGACCAGTGGGACATTTGCTTTAAACCACAAGATATCTCCATCTCCAAGTACAAAAATCCCTTCTCCCTACCCACCCGCCCGCCCCCCCCAGCCAAACAAACAAGGAAACAAACAAAACCCCAACCCAAGAGTCAGTTTCAATAATTTTGAAAGAAATGAAACTCTAAATATTTACAAGAAATAAATCACAAAACTATTTACAAAAATACACAGGCTTATATGCATTAACAATTTACACCAGTTCACAAAAATATTAAAACATAAAAAATACACTATATAAATTAAAAGAACTCAAAAAGTATGATCTAAGACTTCTTAAGATGCTTCTCTCATGCAGGTCATGGTTGAAAAATCAGGGTTTGCTATCTCAGAACCTAAACTGTAAAACAACCATTAAAAAAATTCTTTGAACATTAACAGTACTAATCAGATGAGGAAAAAAGACCCTCTGTGCACACCGACATTATCTTGTACACATTAAAATACATCATTCCCGACATTTCTGTAATACACAGTACTGACAATCACATGCTTCTAACCATTTGGAAGTAACTTTCTGACATACTTTAGCTTTCATTATTTCCTTTCTCTCTCTGCTCAGGCAATACTTTGCCGATGTAGCGAATGTGTGATGAACAGAGAAATGGACTTTACAGGCTCCTTGATGAACCAAAGTGGTGAATTTCCAGTTTACATCGCATGCACCAGCTACTACTTCCAAAGCGCTAACCCACACCACCATCCCCGCTCACATTCCTGGTCCCTCCGCACAGAACTAGTCCTCGAATTTTTCAACCTGACGCTACATTTTAAAAACAGCTTTGTCATTATCAGAAATGTGCAGGCCCTCCCTTTAGGACTATCTTAGGGACTTCTTCGAACTGAGCATGTAAAATATGTGAATGTATGTTAAAAAGGAACTTGAAATACAGTGAAGAAATAAGGCTCAGATTAAATGTATTAATAAGAAAATGATAGCCCTGGGGATTATATATAGCAAAGTTCCTAGCCAGACCTCTACATTTCAATTTAACCAAACTGTGTGACCAGAATTTTGCCAAAATGATAAAATTTGGAGACATGGCCATGAAAATACCAATAGAATTAAATCATGGGTTTAATGCATAAGGCAGCTCCATTTCCTTGTCATAATTCTCCATGTCAACACTGAGAATCTGAGTAACATTCAATTACTGTATGGGTAAAGCACGTGCACAGTAAACGATGCTGAGGTAACCTGGCTCACAGTGATTTGCCATCTAATTTCTACCCCACTTTAGGAAGGGAAAGATGCAGGCAAAGTTTTTCAAATAGCAGAATTCAAAGTTAAGGCTGTTGCTACATACATTAAGTAACTCTAGACTTTTATCTAAAGTTTGCATTTCACACTTATACCAGTAATTTGAATCATTATTCTATATGCAAAATATTTACCTGATAGTTCCAAACCCATAGGATATTATTTATGAAGAAATTGTTCTGATGAATTGACCTTAGTATTTAAAAATAGGCTTCAGTTTCAGGAGTAAACAATATGTGTGTGTGCAACAAGTTCACAAATACGAAAATTGGCCTGGATCCTCCACCACTTCTTTCCAGGCCCTCAGTTACCAAAGCCACTAGCTTTGTCTCCTTGTCACACTAGCCCCTCTTTCTAACCTCCATGCTGCTGGTATGCACCTTTAGGGCTGGCATGGTGTCCAAGGGCAATGGGCTGCCTACTACACTGAAAGATGATGATGAGGGTAAAAAAAGAGTTAGTGCTGTAGTCACTAGAGAGGAAACTCCTGTGTGTAGCACCTGATGGGTCGGAGGATTCCTAGTAGGTTTTTCAACACTGACTGTGGATCAACTGGGTGTGCATTTCGGATGGAGATGCCTGTATTTCCACAGGCCTTTCCACATACTGATGTCTCAAGATTTCTACTCTGGTCTTTTATTGCACCCACCTGGTCAATTCTGGGGAACACAAGAAAACCTTACAGAGTATTTCCATGTATAAATGTCTTGTTCTTAAAACTTTTATTTCTTTTTCTAAATATAAATCTTTAAAATGCAATCACATGACTTTTTTAAATTAAAAAAAGACTGGCATGAATTCTAATCTTTATACAATTTCACAGCAAGAATAGCAGCATGGTTTTAGCTTCTTAAAAGTTCTCCTTCTTTGCTCTAAATAAAAGTAATTCCAAATTCTAAAAAGCCTCACAGCATCAGCCATCCAGTAAATGGAATGAAACCGCCCATGTCTTCTACAAACTGAGCATGTAAAATGTATGAATGTATAAAACGCAAGTATTATCACGCTGGAATGAAATGTCAATCTAAGCTCACTTTCTAAATTCAGGACTGCCTTGCTAGTTTGGGGTGTCTGTGGTGGGGCAGGCTGAGAAAGAATGGAGTTGTAACTTTCAAAAGAAAAGTCCTGGGTATTAAACATGTTAACATGTCTACAATTATAAAGAGCTATTCCTGGAAATGCTGGTGTAGATGGTAATTAGACAGGAATCACACAAGTACACAGGAAACACACACCATAGGATTCCCTGGGATGCACGTGGCAGCTATGTAGAGCTTGCGGCTGGTGAGATGGGGCTCTGTACTTAGTGCTTACTGCAGGGATTTGCAGTTTTAAACATATAATCCAAAGTCACTTCAGGAAATGCTAGGTAACCTGTATTCTGGTTTAGAAACTTGTAAATTTACATTCATGAGAAATCGTGTTCAAATAGCTCAACTATGCTGATTTTTTCCTAATGAAAAAGAGTTGTTATTTTAGGAGAGCGAATAGTGTTACTGGAATTATAATTTGCTGAACATTACATGGGGTGGGGGGATCTGCATACAGGCAGCACATTAAAAGCCTGATATTCTGGTGGTAATGAAGCCCACTGGCAATTAGAACTTGAATTCTAACTTTAAAAAGCCCCAAATACCCCTTATACAGTGGATAAGAGCTTGTGCATCAACCTGTAAGGAATACATACAGAAATAAGAAGACAGAAAGTATGATTCTAAGTCTGGTATTTTACAATAACTTTATGAAATGGCTAAAGTCCCAATTCCTTTACTTTTAATTCTAATGTTGTTTGCTGTCTGTTTTAACTGAAGGATCCGTTTTTATTTTCCTCCACTCTAATTTAACACACAAGCCCCTTCCTGACAGATAATGATATAATGGAATGAGTGTCCACCTGAGCAAGGTGTGTGGCCCCTGATGGGGAAGCAGGAACACAACAGGAAATGGAGAAGCCCACCAGGAAATAGAGGCAAACTGCTCCGAACTAGGTAGCAAATGTGAAGATGAAAGGACAAAGTTATACTTAATCAGTTAAAGGCAGTCCTCTGGCTCTTACAAAATAGCCTTGCATGGAAAGTACAGTCTATGACAAATTTGCTAGCTTTTCAATACAGTGCTTTACACTTATATTTCTTTTAAAGACAAAAATGACACCGTTTATAGATGAAAAAGATGTAATGAAGCAGGAAGGGGGAAGATGGGGACTTGTTTATTTCTATTATTATTTTTTCCTTTAATGTGGTTGGTCGGAGGTTTTGTAGCTTTTTTATTTTATTTTTTATCATTTTGGTTATTGAAAAAAAAATAGAACAGTCCACTGTCCAGCAGAGGCTGCTTCAACTCTACTGCTCCCAGGGCTCATTCTGCATGGATCTGTGCATCAGGGAGCTGTAAAGACAGCTCTGTGGGCAGGAATGCGCCTTGCCCCAGGGCTGTGGCGTAGGTCCTGCTCTGTGGGCGGGCAAAGCCGGAGGGCACACAGGCTCCCATGCTGCCCCCTCCAAATCCCCCTCGCTGGTGCTGAGGCAAGGAGTGGTAATCCTCCAGGTTGTCATACTGTGACACAACGGTCATATTGTTCTGGCGCTTGCTGTGTGTTTGGTACTGGTATACCATGCCGGGGTCCCTCTCCAGGTTCTGTGTGTGATGGAGTTTTAGGCTATGACTCCGCTCTGGTTTAGGGGGTGGGGCCACTGACTGAGTGAGGTGTTCCTCCTCCTTGTAGCAGTCTCTGGAGTGTTTCTCTGGAGCGGGTGGCTGCCTGGCTCGTGGTCGCTCCAGATCTTTGGAAAGTCTCCCTTCTTTGTGGTTCAGTCTTAAAGATTCCTGCCCTGACATGGTGTACTTCCCTCCAGAGTTATGGTAGCTGCCTGGCTCAGAAGGGTCTGGAATCCCTTTGGGCCCATAATCTAACTGGCCAGATGCCTGGGAGTAAGGTGGCCCATTCTTTGATTCACTTAGCTGCCTATGGCTTGCTTCCTGAAGTACTCTGTGTTCTTGGAGACCACAGGCCAGGTCATGAAGCTTCCGGTTCCTCAGGCTGCCCTGCTTCTGCGGGAGGGATGGCTTTTCTGCCTGCACACTGCCATACACCCCATGGTGGTGGGTTCTGTCAAATTCTGGCTCTGGGTGTTTCCTGTAGAAGCGGTCATCTCCCTCAGGACTGACCACCTTGGCTGTGTGCCGCCCGTCCTTCCCCTCTGCCACCGAGAGAAGTCCAGTTTTCCCAGGATCGGATTTACTACGCAGATGGATGACATAGATCCCTCCCAAGTCATCCTGAACAGTGGGGGTCATGTTGTCATACTGAGACATAACAGGTCCTTTCACCTTCTGCCGCGCACGGCTCTCTCTGCGGATGGACTGCATTCGGTATTTTTCCATGTCCTCAAGATCCCATGAAGTGTAGGTGTGCTTTACATCGGCAGCTGGGGGTATGTTGACTACGTTATGGTCATTACCAGAGAAATAGCCAGACATGTTGGCCCGAGGACGTGGTGGCAAACCAGCATAGCTGTACACATTCTTTCCTTGCAGCCTAGGATTGTAGAAAGCAAAATCACGATTGGGCAGGCGGTGAAGGGGCCTCAACTGTACTGTGCTGTAGGCATCCACATCACACAGGGCCCCATCAGGACTGTAATAGGAACTAGAAGAACTGGAATATGGGCTATAGCGGTAGTGGACCCGTCCATTTTCAAAGTAAGGCTGAAGTTGAGTTACGTGATAATCTGAGCGGGCCTGGGAGGACTGATATGGCTTATACTGGTACAGGGGTCTTGGACAATAGGCTGGTTCATCATCTGGGGGAACTTCTGTTCGTGAAATGGGAACAGAGCGAATCATGGAAGATGGGGGAGCATGGAGGGACTGCACCCTCCGGATGGTAGGGTATGGTGGAATATCTTCAGGGTAACAAGCACCCCTAACCGAGGAGCTTAAAGGAGAAACATATTCAATCCGGCTGCATGGCTTGGAGTGGTGTCCAGATGTGTTTCTTCCTGGGGCCACATAGGTGTTATAATGAGGTCCCATGGTGGTTGGTGGCTCCGATCGGGCACCATATACCTGGTGCTGCTCCAACTTGTTGTGGTGTAGAGATACACTTGAGGGACGGAACTGGCAGCTTGGAGTAATATTGAAATGCACACAGTTTTCTGGACCAAAGGGCTCAGGAGCAACATCAGGCCTAGTGAAGGAGGAATAAGCTATTTTCTGAGAAGCATGCTTAGGTTGTGGGATAGGAAGTGGCAAAGGCAACACATCCTCCACCGAGGCTGAGGAAGCAGCAAGAAAGGAGTGGTAGTTCGAACTGCTGGTGGCATCTGCACTGCTAGAATGCATGGCAGCAGCCATTTTGCTTTCAACTGTCCTTGTGGGTGGCACTGGAGCAGCAAAGCCACAGGAGTGGCCAGGGAAGGACTCAGCTCGCAGGTGGAGGAGTGGAGCCCTGCTACCTTCTCGCACTTTCTCAGGTAAGCCTGGCTGGGGAGCAGATGTGGTCATGGGACACTGAGCAGCTGCACTGCCATCGCTGACAAAGAGGGGTGCAGAGTCACTCATGGCTTGAGGCTCAGGTGGCCTCTCTGGAGCTGGAGCCATTCCTTGAACCTGTTGGGAGATAGATAATAATCTTATAAGCCCATTTTTTAATGCTCAACCTATGAAATCAAATGCTATTACATTTCTAATGACCATGTTAAGTTAGTAGCAGCTAGAACTTTCTAAGCCATGCAGTTGTCCTGTACCTGCTCCCATGGCCATGAGAAGAACAACTCACTGCTGTTTGGCCTTTGGCTCTCTCTTGGGAACTGTGCCAGATTCTAATTCATAGTAGGGTTTAAATATGCGTTGAGGTGTCTTTGGCATTATCTTCATGTGCAGACCCAAAGAAAGGTTTCATCAATTAACACTGTCATGCTTAAAAATAAATACCCAGCTCGAGAGTGAGTCTAGCTTACTCTCAATACCAAGGACATTTAATTCAATAGAAACAGCTGATATTACCTCCTGGGAGAATTTTGAAGTGACTCACTGAGTGAACAGTTTCAAATCCCCAAATATAGGGAAGAACAGTAAAGTGTGTTATCTAAAGTGATACTGATGTCTACCCACTTTCTTATGACCCTCATAGTAAAAATATACCATCTATGAGAAGCAGTTGCCACCAACAGCATGCTCCAGGAAGAACTAGAATTTTTTAAACATTTTTTAGTTCAAGATGACTACCAAAAAACCCTCGTACTTTTTAAATTTTAAATAAGTAAGAAAATTAGAGCCTGACTCATGCCTGTGGTTTTAACTGCTTACAATCAGGAGGACTGTGATTTGAGAATATCCCAGGCAACAAGTTCTTGAGATTCCCCATCTCAACAGAAAACGTTTGGCAGGGAGGGTAAATAAAAGGATTATAGTCCAGGCCTGCCCAGGCAAAGAGCAAGACCTATCTTGAAAAATAAGCAGAATAGAAAGGGACAAAGTATGGCTCAAGTGGTAGAATGCTTGCCTACCAAGCGTAAGGCATGAGTTCAAACCCCAGAATAGCCAAAAGAAGGAAAGAGAGAGAAACTTTTAGCATTCTGTACACAACATTCTTTAATCAAAACAGTTACTTGATTATAGAATAATCTCTTGGGAAGGTTGAGAAAAATAATGAAAAGTCTTAACCCAGTCAGGAACTGGTGGCTCATGCTTATAATCCTAGATACTCAGAGGCTGAAATCTGAGGACTGAAGTTTGAAGTCAGCTTGGGCAGGAAAGTCTAGGAGACTCTTATCTCCAATTAACTAGAAAAACAGAAGTGGAACTATGACTCAAAGTCTTGAGCAGAAAAGCTCAATGACAATGCCCAGGGGCTGGGAAGGTGGCTCAGTAGTAGAGTGCTTGCCTTGTATGCATGAGGTCCTGGGTTCAATTCCTCAGCACCACATAAGCAGAAAAAAAAAGCCACAAGTGGGGCTGACTCTCAAGTGGTAGAATGCTAGCCTTCAGCTGAAGAGCTGAGGGACAGTGCCCAGGCCCAGAGTTCAGGCCCCACAACCGACTAAAAAAAAAAAAAAGACAATGCCCAGGGCTGGGAAGGTGGCTCAGTGGTAGAGCACTTGCCTTGCATGCATGAGGCCCTGGGTTCAATTCCTCAGCACCACATAAGCAGAAAAAGCCAGAAGTGGCTTTACCACTGTAGCTCAAGTGGTAGCTTTACCACTGTAGCTCAAGTGGTAGAGCACTATCCTGGAGCTGAAGTGCTGAGGGAGGCCCATGACCGACCAAAAAAAAAAAAAAAAGATAATGGCCAGGCCCTGAGACCTACAATCAACAACCACAGAAAGTCCCAACATTCTACTGTCTTCCACTTCTAAATAGCTTGCAAGACAGAATCTTACAAATGTCTTGAGAATGAAGTGTTTACATCATGTACGTGCAAATGGTGGCACAGTGACTAAATGACTTGCCTGACCCCATTTGCTCAAAGTCATATTGAGTCAATGATGGAGCTGGCCAAGGAAAAAAAAACCTGACAGTATCTAAAATCTCATTTGTTTCATTTGATCACAATCTTCTTGTATTACTATGAGGAAATTAGTGGCTTTAGGAAGAAAAGGTAGCAGGTAGAGTTAATCTATAGTCATCAAATACTTATTTCTTCCTCAGAGAGAAACCAGTAGCCAAGTAAAGAGAGAATTCATCCTTAAACAGGAACTCTATCACAAAGATCTGCCACAGGACTGAAAAATAAGGTTGTGGCTGACTCAAAGACAACAACACGCCCTGCTGAAAAATAACATACCTTTGGAAATAGTGCATTTCATGCCACTGATTTCCTTCCCTTCTTACCTTGTGGGAATTATTTAATCCTATACTGGGTGCTGCTTGTACCTGCCCCACGACTGGCAGCTGCTCTGCTGGCCTTTGGGAAGGAGGTGGGGGAAGGGGACGGTTAGTTCTGTGCGTGCGCTGAAGGGTGGCAGCCGCAAAATCAACAGCAATGGGCTGTTCAGCCACAGCCCAGCTGGCATCCCTGGAGCTCATTTCAGCTGCTGTTGTAGTTGCCATCACATAAGCCCTGGTGACGGTGCTGGTATTCTCTTCAGGGGACCCAGAAGGAGGGTAGACTTTGTCCCTAGGCAAATTACAAGTCATGAGAGATCTGTCAAGAATTTCTGCAGGTTGATGGTGCTTGTCCATACTTGCAGCAAGGGAAGTGGGGGGCTGGTCACTGCAGAAATGGAGTGGAGGTTGATGGGGTTTGTCTATACTTGCAGCAAGGGAAGCGGGGGGCTGGTCACTGCAGAAATGGAGTGGAGGCTCATTCTGCTCCACAAAGGACACAGTTGGCATACTGTTCTTCACAGCCTGGTCCTCAGGATAATTGACAGGATCGTCAGATTTCTCTGAGTCTGTTAAGGGAGCTGAAGTGATTCTGGTCTTTTCTGGGTCCCCAGATAAATAGTTTCGAGGTGGTTGATTCCCTGGCAAGTCAACTTGGTGGAGTTGCTCTCCAGATTCAGTTGTGTTGGAATGGGTGGGATCCCCCATAGCTGCTGTCTCTGGGAGAGACTGTTCACAGTGTCCTGATGTATTGTTCTGGAGGTGGAACTGCTCTGCTGGTCGATCCATTTGGAAATAGGCCTTATCTAGAGCAACACTACAGTAGGGACCAGGCAGTTTATCTTCAGCTGTAGTCACTGCCAAGTCTCCATAACTAGTATACCCAGCCTGAGAAATCCCTGGTCTCTTCAGTGACTGAGTTGAGGCTTGCTGCGCAGACTCAGCTAATGCTAGTGCCAACATTCGGGCGACATTTTTCGGAGGCGGTGGTGGTGGGATAAGAGAGACTGAACTGACAGGAACAGGATCCTGAGGGGGATCATGGGTAACTGCTCCTAGTGGGAAATTGGGAAAAAAAATGAGAATGAAAAGGTAGCTTATGTTATCCTCTACGGAAAGCCAAACACTCCCCATGTGATCATTAAAAAAATAGGTGCCTTCCATGATCCATGATCTTCTATCCCACATGCAAATGTTGTTGAGAACACATCTGGTTCAAAAGGAAAACTAAGAGCATGTTTAAAGGTTGCAAGCGCCTCTTGAACTGCTATAGTAATGGAGAGAGGGGATGATGCAGGTCCCTTACCTGGCTCAGAAAAGACTGCTTAGAGCACAAGCTTTGAGTGCTTACAGACTGTGATTAAGAATTACATTTGATAGAGCAGGCTGGCTTGTTAACTTGTAAGGCTATAATAAGTATATTTATTAGAAAAGAAAATATTCTTAAGCGCTAAGAAAGCTGTTTAAAAATTATTTACAAATTCTGACTGTCCAAAAGGTAATGGGACTTTTGTAAAAGTCTGAAGCAAGGCCACAAGCCCTTTGGGGAGTTTTGCTTGACTGATTGTAGCATAGGGCTTTGTGCTATTAGCACCACTCAGAAAAGCATTCTCTTTGATTAAAGACTAGCTGTAGAGCAAGTTTCTCTCTTAAAAGGCACAGGTGACACACAGGATGGGAGATCCCTCTTAACTTATAGAAAGAACGGAGGAAAACAAACAGTACCTGTCTGAGTCTGTCCAGAAGCTACAGCCTTACTCTGACTGCTTGAGACAGACTGCTCCTCTTTCCCTGGCAATTCTACTTCTTCAGCAGCAACCTGGTCCAGGTGCTGGACTTCAGGTTCACATCCTTCTTGGGCCTCTCTCTCATCTGTTTTCATCTTTACTATCTGGGTGGGGGATCTATTTGTGACATCACTTTCTTCCACACTTTTCTCCCAGGTTGGTGACGATGCATTCTGAACTGTAGTGTTTGAGATAGTACCAATGACTTCTGACACCCGAGGTGGAAGAGTCACTGAAATTGGCTCAGATATGTTCATGGAAGGTGATTTGCTTAACTTCCGTCCTATCTTCGGAGAGAAAGCATAGACAACCTTTTCAGTAAATGTCGATGGCTTAGACGATTTGTCTTCAGTTGGGCTCAAGTCCAGGGTAAAGAATGGACTCAGTTTTTCCTGAACTGGAGAGACAGGTTCAGAACTTGCAGTGCTTCCTGGAGTATGAGACTGGCTACCAGCTGCTTCCCCATCCTTTTTAATGGCACATGGTTTATCCTTGGAGTATCCCAATGAATCCAAAAAGGAAGCACCACTCTCCAGACATTCTGATTCAGCTTTAGGAGGACTACACTGAAATGACATTGGATCGAAATCCAGGCTGGCCACTCCAATGTCTGGTGGGCTCAAGTCAACATCCTCAGCAGAATGAGGAGACACAAGAGCTGGAATGTGGAGCAGCCCCACTTCCTCCTCACTCTCGTGGTCATGTGGTAGATTATCATAGGAATTACAGCGGTTCCCCAGCATTTCTCCGTTGAAAGAGGCAGACAGTGCATCACTGCTAGACCGGGGTCTTCTGGGTCGGAAGAGCTTGGAGTCACCTGGTGAAAATGAACAACAATGTCAAAGTATGAAAGTCACAGGATACTGTCTGTAATAAGCCACTCAATTTAGTAGTAATTTCTTCACAAGGTTAAAAAAAACCATAATTCACTTTCTTCTTGTAAACTGTTATCAATGTACATAGATTATTCTCATTTTTAACACAATTTCCTGAGCAAATGGTAACTGTCACATATAAACAGGGGGGGAAATGCATCATTTCGTGGTCTGGAAAAGAAAAGGACTAATGACTCTTGAATTCTATTATTGGTCAAGCACTTGACTCTTGGTGTGGCTTTGGACAAAGTTTTCCATGTCTTTGTGTTTTATTGTATCACTGGCTTGTATACACATGTGACTAATGCAGTGAAATTAATCTCTGGCAAAAAAAGGCTGTATATCATGGCAAAAATCTTTATATAAAAGATATTTCACTTAAAAAGCATTTATATAACTTAGCAAAGGATTCCTTTCAGATACTTAAAAACTGTGATTTTTTTTCTAAAGTAATAGGCTTTTAGTTTCCCTTGTATACCCCTCAAGAATGCTAGACAATTTGGTACCATTTTATGTTGTTGCTAAATATTCAATGTAAAAAATAAATATTACTCTATAAAAATTATTATAATTATTTAATGGAGACAAACTATCTTAACATAAACCCACTTATTAATGAATCCATTTATAAGATTATTCACAGTAACCATTGTTATTTCTTGCTTAATAGCAGCACCTTCATTGCTTTTGTAGATTATCTTGACTATAGTACAATTGAAAATCTTAAAAAAATTTCTAAAATGCCAGCCACTCAGATAAAGTGATATGGGAGCATTGTGAATCACAAGCAAAACTAGTGAGGATCCAGCAGTAATAAATGAAGATGAGAAAATTGACCAGGATGATGACATCTTAGAACACTTCATAGCAATATGATTTGAATGTAAATGGACCAAGAAAACCCTTTGAAAATCAGTGTAGTGCTAAATTACTTTTGTAAAATGATTTAAAAAATAATCTGTTGTATCATTAGCAAACAAAGGATGTACTATTGTGTTCTTAAAATGGTTAAAAAAGAAAACTCATACCTTCCTCTAATAACAATGAAGTAGGTCCTTCTACAAATCAGTACATAACTGCAACTATAATTCAACTTTTCCTAAACAGAATATAACACACATTTGTTTTCATAATAATTTAGTTTTGTTTTTTAAGTTATGCTACAACCAAATCTTTTCCATTTGCCTTGAAAATATGGTGCCATTTTAAGCAGATTCACTTTAAGTTGCTATCTTTAGGTGGTAATGATCCTTGAGTAATGAAGAACACCTGAAATCAATCTCATCTATGAAATTTAAAGTCAGATTAGGCCATTGCAAAACAAAAGACTGCTGGTCTAAATTACAAACCCATTTAATTTTATACTTTGTAATAAACGTTATGTTCTCATAGTAAATCCAAGGGAGACATAGTAACAACTTATTTTTCCTAAGCATGGGAGAAATATACCTGGTTGCTATAAAATACCATTTTAATGTAAACAAATAGAAACCATAAGATACAGTTACCATAAACATTTTTGAATTTTAATCTGAACAATAAGCTAAGTATGTACCGTAATGCTGGAAGATAATCAGTAGCCTATTTATTATGCAATTATTTGTAAAACACACTTAATTGCTGTGTGTGTGTGTGTGTGTGTGTGTGTGTGTGTGTGTACACTTTAAAAGTAATATAACAGAATAATATGACGGATGTTTTTGGTCTTACCATCAACTGCGTGGAGAGAAGTAAGAGACTCCTCACTTTTAGCTGAGCGAAGGGTTCCTTCTGCCCTGCCACCTATAATCAAAACCAAATAGTGTCAACTTTTATTATTGTTGTGTACATGCAGTGAAAGGAATTAGTGTTTTTCATAATAACAGTTCAAACTTCCAAGAGTGGTTAGTTGCATATTTGAGTTGTATCTAGTTTACAATGCTATTATAGAAAGTGCTGCATTATTCTCAGTTCCTGATGTAAAAAATCCCTTTTCTAGAACTTGAACATAGACATGAACCAAGAAACTTCTTTCTTGTGTATTTCCTAAAGATCAACTTAATATTCTGAGATGATACTACGCTGTACTCACAGTGGACTCTATCCTTCATGATTAATGTTCTTTTTAGAAAAGAAAATGGAGGGACAAAGAGGACTAGACCTGTGAAGATGGAGGTAGTAGACATTGGAGTGATGCTGCCCAAGTCAAGAAATGCCACAAGGAATTGGAGAAGGTAAGGAGCACCAAAAGCTGACACCATCAGACTTTGTGCCTCAAAACTGAAAACAAAGGGGCTGGGAAGGTGACTCAGTGGTAGAGCGCTTGCCTTGTATGCAAGAGGCCCTGGGTTCGATTCCTCAGCACCACATAAGCAAAAAGAAAAAAAGCCGGAAGTGGTTCTGTGGCTCAAGTGGTAGAGCGCTAGCCTTGAGCTGAAGAGCTGAGGGACAGCACCCAGGCCCAGAGTTCAGGCCCCACAACCGGACCCCCCCCCCAAAAAAAACCCTGAAAACAGAGTATGTTTCTGCTGTCTCAAGACAACTCACTTGTGGTAATTCATATGGAAGTCCTAGGAATCTCACACAGTTACTTTACATACATTGAACTCAGATTTGCTAAACACTTGCATTCTGTTACCTGGATGTAGCACCCACAGTGTCACTTCCATTTGAAACCCCTCTTCCCTTCTGAGGACAGACTCACTTCTGTTCTTTGTCTACTAACCTAATTGTTTCTTTTCACCCTCCTCTCAAGACAATTCTTCCTTTAAATAATGCTTTTCTCTCATTTGTGTCTCTTCTCACCAAGCTTCTGAGTCCTGAACATGTACTCTGACCATCTCAGTACTCTGCCCATCAAGTGTCTCTATTTACCTTCACTGCCCATTTTAAGAGATATCTTTATGATTCCCTCCCTCACAGGAACTGACAATGCCTACATAAAGACTTATGTAGAATTCTATTTCTATAGCTATGCTTCTGTAGTGAAATTCACTTTCTTTTTTTTTTTTTGCCAGTCCTGGAGCTTGAACTCGGTGCCTGGCCACTGTCTCTGAGCTTCTTTTGCTCAAGGCTATCACTCTATCACAGCACCACTTCTGGCTAATCTTGTTTATGTGGTACTGAGGAAGCAAATCCAGGGCTTCATGTATGCTAGGCAAGCATTCTACCACTAAGCCACATTCCCAGCCCAAATTCATTTTCTTATACATATGACTTCACAGAATCTGAAAGTAGGAGTCCTTTATTGTCTGTTTACAGAGGCACATGTACGGGTTTGGTACACAATTGTAAACTGAATGATAAAAATTATTTTTATATCTTTACCTAAGAAAGCTTTGAACTGAAATCCTCTGATTTCAGCCTCCTGAATAGCTAGGATTATAGGCATGAGCTACCAATACCTGACTAGTTTAAACTATTTTTTACAAGAGTCATTTATTCTATAGTAATAGGTCTGTTTGGCCAAATAAGACACTCTCATTACTAAGTCATCAAGTAAAAAGATAAAAAAGAGTCATTTATTCTATAGTAATAGGTCTGTTTGGCCAAATAAGACACTCTCATTACTAAGTCACCAAGTAAAAAGATAGCTTCTTTGGTTGTAACAATGGTAAACTTGAAAGGAAGCTGAAACGTGGTTTTGTTGTGTTATAAATCTGTAGAAATAGAAATATAAACTTTTGAACATCACATCAGTATTTATTGCCAATAAAATGTAACTCATATTGCAAATGCAGTGTTTGTTTGTTTTGTGCTGGTTACAAGTGCTTGAACTCAGGGTCTAGGCACAGTCCTTAGCTTCTAGTGCTCTACCACCTGAGCCACAGCTCCACTACTGGATTTTGGGTGGCTACTGAAGAGAGTCTCATGGACTTTCCTTTCTGGGCTGGCTTTGAATTGTGCTTCTCAGATCTCAGCCTCCTGAGTAGCTAGGATTACAAGTCTGAGCTATAAGTACCTGGCTACATTGTGAAATTTTAAACACATTTTATACACACACACACACACACACACACACACACACACACACACACACACACATGTATATATTATATAATGTGTATATATATATTTTAAATGTGTGTTTGTATATATATATGTACTTCCTGTATAGTTCCTTTAAGAAATAGGATCCTTCTGCAGGTAACTTATATTACCTTTTGAGATGGGGATCAAGAATTAGTCAGTCTAGAGCATGGCTCAAGGGGTGTAGTGCTTGTCTAGTAAGTCCGAGGCCCTATACTCACACCCCAGCACCATCAAAGGAAGAAAAACTAAAGAATTGGTCATGAAGACAAATCCATTTATGCCACACACAGCTATGTACATCATACAATGAAACTGTCATGGCAATGACAAAGTAGGTGTCTAAGAAGGTGCAAGCCTTACTAGGAAGACTGTGTTGCAGGGGCAAGACAGGTAAGGCACTCACCTTTCAAAGCCATGGCTTTCATCTCTGAGGGCTCACTCTCGTTACGCTGCAACTTCCGTTTAGAGATGGATGACGACTTCCCCAAGTTGAAAAAGGAACGCCAGCTACCCACGGGAGATTTTTTCATTTTATTAGGAGGTCTCTTTCTGTGAGAGAGAAAATAGTTCATTTGTATTAAGATAGACAAGTGCCTATTTTTTCTTATAGAAAAAGAAATCAATAAATGATAAGAAGAGCCAAATAGCCTAGAGAAGCACAGCTGGAATAACACATATATTTCTATCTTCCTTCATTCGACACAGTGAGGCTGAAGTGTAAAATGGAAGTCAAACATGGAGTTTCTAAACATTACACTAAGTCTATTTTCTTATTTATATCTAATCTCACAATCTACAAAATAAGTGGAAATAAAACATAACTGGACATAGAAACTATTAAAGTTCCAAAAATAACAGAATATGCTTGTATTATGTGAATGGAGAATATAAGAACAGAACAAAAAATAAAAATTAGTATCCATTAAATGGCTAGGCACTATGTTAAGCATCTTATATACACAATGATTGTAGTCTTTCAATCAAATATAATGACATGAGGCAAATACTATTATTCTCGGTTTCCAATAAGTTCCCATAACTTCCTAAATGTCATAAAACTGGTAAGTGATTAAGTCAGGGAAGAAAACCAAGTTTATCTACATCATAATACATACTTTTTTAGGTGGGTGCTAAGTACTGGGGCTCGACCCCAGAGCCTGGGCATTATACTTGATTTGGGTTTTTTTTCCCCTTTGGTTGAACTCAGGGCCTGGACACTGTCCCAGAGCTCTTTTGCTCAAGGCCAGCACTCTACCATTTTGAGCCACAGTACCACTTCTGGTTTTCTGGTGGTTAGCTGGAGATAAGAATTTCACAAACTTTTCTGCCCAGGCTGGCTTTGAACCATGATCCTCAGATCTTAGCCTCCTAAGTAGCTAGGATTATAGGCATGAGCCACCAGCACCTGTTCCTTAAGTTTGTTCAAGGCTAGCACTGTTATCACTTGAGCCACAGCTCCACTTTTGGCTACGTGGTAGTTAATTATACATAAGTTTCTTATAGACTTTCATGTCTGGACTTTCATGTCTGGACTAGCTTTGAACCATGATCCTCAGATCATCAGTATGAGTAGCATACTGTACAGCATAAAATCTACTTTTAAAATCACCAACTCTGTAAACTATGGAGCTAAAATACAAAATTAAGATGTTGAAGACTGAGGAATATACTAACATAAAAAGAACAAATCCTAAAATTATATTAGTACTACTAACCAACTCTAGATAAGCAAGATCTTTACATTTATGTGTAATAGCCAAAGGAGGAGCAGAGCTATCAATAATAACTTTACATATGTTAATCTTCCCACTAGAACCTAGTAAAGAAGATACATAAACTATGTTATTACCATTTCTTTTGAGCAACCATTAAGTCACAGAGCTGAGCGCTGAGAGGGCAGGCTGTAGTGGCTCTCCAATTTTCACACCCACCAGACTCTCATGGAAAACTTGATGGAAGACAGAAGACTGCTGGGCTCCACTCCCAGGGATTCTGACCCTGTGGTCTAGGCTGAGACTGAGTATCTGCATTTCTAACAATTAACTGGTGATGCTAATGCTGCTGGTAGAAAGTTCATACTTTTGAGGACTGCTGATCTATTAATCTTAATATGGAACCAACATCAAATAAATCATCATCTATTCACTACTTTCTGAAAAGTCTATTCCAACACAGATTATTTCTAAACAATATTATCTCAGAAAAATCAACCCCATGTTGTGAATATGCATATTTTCTAACAATTGTCCCTGTGACATTGTTTTTAAAAAATGTGATGTTGTAATATAAGCATCATTTGTTTCAATTCTTTACAGAAGTATCATTTATATTAAAACATTTTTTTTCTGAGAGTGGGCCAGAATTTAATACCATATTGCTAAAAGACAAAATTAAAAACAAACTAAAAGCAGACAATAATAAAAACATAGCTATGAAAACCATATTTTAAAATAAGATTTAATGAATTTTACCTTTCAAGTGGAAACTCGATTATGGTATGAAATTTCCCTTGAAGTGCAGCAGGTCCTTCTCCAACTTCGATATATTTATTTTCAGTCACAATTGGAGAGTTGACTTGAGCTTGGGTTCGTGCCTGGGCTTCCTCCAATGTCAGCAGCTTGGTGGATGGAGAGGACACCAGCAGAGACTTGGGCCTTGACAGGGAAGCTTCAAAACAAAGGGAAGAAGTGAACATAGTCAGTTATAGGTCAGGGCACAGCAGCCTGTTTCTCTGTCTACCTATCTCTCCACTCTTTGGTGTTATTTCAAGTTTTCTCTAAAACTTTTAAATGGAAAAAAAATCACAATGGTTTGTATTAACTGAGAAATAGAAGGTGATATGCCAGGTCAGTGATAATTCAACTGTTTTCGTGTCTTAAAGGACATATACCCGTAATTCTAGCTACTGGGGAAGTGGCAAACTAGAGGCACAAGGTTCAGGGCAATCCCTAGTACCAAGGAAAGAAAAAAGATGACCAGAAAAGGATGTGGTTCGGATATTTCTAGTGTAGGAAGTAATATTTTTTCCTGTTCCACATAATACCTTTATTAAATACAGTGACAATATTTAAAAATATTGTCATAAACTTATCAGACCACAAGAGATCTGATATGCTGTATTCATTATGTACACACAAAAGAACTGCCAACTCTACTTTGGGATAGAGATATAAATTGGTGATCTTCTCCAAATGTTTCATTTTATCAACTGAAATGGTAAATGCAAAGCTTTCTATTCCTTTGAAAGCTAGGTATATGTAAACAAAATCCACCTGAGTCATACCTGCACCTTCTTGCATGACTGCACTGATTTTGCCACTGAAGAGTACATCTACATGATTGAGGATGAATTCAACAACCACAGACTGGATTCTCACTTCCATGAAAGCTGCTGTCCCACTGAAGCAGGCCGACTCTATCTGTTTTGATCTGAGGGGTTAACAACATTCCATTAGAGTTGCAAAGAGAGTAATGTCAAATGGCACTGTTTTAAACACCTAAGTCATAGACAAACCAGAGGAAGAAACCCTATTTTTTATAGTGCCTTAGCTAAGCCCCAGTATTCCAGCTTTATGGAGATACTAATAAGAACTACATTGTTTTCCTTTGGACATTGATGAATTAAGAATTTATTCAAGACACTTAGAGAAATTTAGTTCTACTAAAGGTCCTAAGGCAAATTCAAGTTACCTGAGCAAGTTTGGAGCCCAGACAATGGCTAGGTTTTTTGCATGCATATTTGTGATGGAACAATAGTCTGCTAAAAGAGACAAGTGTCTCATCAGGAACTCCAAGGTTCTGGAAAACAAAATCCAACATATTAATAGAAGAAGATATTAAGCAGCAGTGTAATATATAAAACTACTAACTAATTTACAAGTTTTCAAAAGCAAAATAGAAAGAAAAAAGGAAACCATACAAACCCAGGTTATTTTCTCCCTGCTGCTTACTAAGTTTAAATATTATTAGAAGTAAATCCTCCACAAAAGCTAGTTTCTGGACCAAATGATAGTTTGAAGTTCTATTTTCCTACTTGCAGCAGACAACAACTAATGAAAAAGAATTTAAATACTTTAAAAGAAAAAAAAAACAACGTTACACCAAACTAAAAATAGTTAAAAGAACAATTCTAATAGGCATCAAGGAGAAAATATATTTGAGCTGCTGATGGGCTTTTGGAATGAAAAGCCTTACTTCAAAAATCCTAATGTCCTTGTTTATCTTGTTCAATCAAATTATGCTTTATTTAAACTGAGCAAAGCATTCTTGGAAATAAATATGATCAGCTTAAGTATAATTTAAATGGGATACACACAAACCAGTATTATTTATCAGCTACAATGTCTTAGCCTACTCAATTATACAGGAATTAAAACTATTAAAAAACAATGAAAGAGAGACAGAAATACAAGACTCTATTATTAGAAGCAGTAATAAAAGTTAAATTGTGGTCTATATAAAGAACCACAAAGATTCACTTGAACCTTGAGAGGTAAAGGAAGCTATAGATAGATAATGAGCATTTAAGGGGAGCACCATTTACTTCTCATATACTCATCAGTTCAGTCCTATCCTTGTAAGGAGGAGGAAGTAAAAGATTGTTGAAGGTTATCAGTTCAGCCTGGTAGGGAGAAGAAAGTGAAAGATTGCTAAAGGTTACAAAGAGTGGCAGTGCAAGAAATCAAGGAAGAATCAAGGATCCATGAAACAGGCGACTGCGGCATCTGTCAGCTTTGCATGCATTTGACTTTTCAAAACCATATGCTACATGGATTACTTTTTTTTACTGTAGAGGAAAAATATAATATCACAGCTCACATAAAATTAACAGGTCATGAAGTCTATCCCATCTCTATTATTAGCATCCTCTATTATGCTATATTTTATTTAAAAGACATTAAGGTCCAAGCTTATCTCCTTATCAACCTTTTAAAAAATAGTTTAAGAAGAAATTATCAGTATTATGTTCACAGATATCAAGACTGATCCTTACAAGAGAGCACATAGTAAGTGATAGATTAGTAAAATCAAACGACACTAGGCTTCATAAACAAATGAGTTACTGAAAAATGTTTCCTTTTGCCTCCAAGATATCCTTTAAAAACTTGTCTCAGAACTGGAGCTTTGGCTCAAGCTCCGAGACAGTGCTCAGGCCCTGAGTTCAAGCCCTATGTCCCAAAACAAACAAAACAAAACAAAAAGCCAAACTTGTCTTCTCAGCCTTCGTTTTCAAGGCCAAATACCTCAATTCCTTTAAGTAATGAAAACTTTTCAAATTTCCTTCAGCTTTCCCTTTTCACTCTTCAATAGATCTTCAGAGTCCTTTAATTTCATCACAATTCTTAGAGAACCTACATTAGTGAGTTATTGAATTTATGCTTTAGTACCTTCTATAGTATATATATCATGTATTCATATCTAGAATGCTGATTTTAAAATATATGCTAATTTTTAGTATTGATTAAAAATGTTGGTGTTAATTTAGTGCTAAATGCAGTATCGATTTTAATAGAGTTAGACACAATGTATTTCTGAAAAGCATTCAGCATTAAATTAAATTGTAGACCATCTGCTGAACTTATTAGTAATTGAATTAATGAAACAAAGGAGGAGGCAACAATGCTTGATAAGAAATGTACTCATTACCTTGCCCATGTAGTTGTAACCCCTCTGTACAGTATTTTCACAATGAAAAAAAAAAGCAAAAAAATCTTTCGCTTTTTTGTATCCTATCACTCAGAGTTTCTACTGTGTTCTTTCTTTTACTAAGTGGGAATCCTTGCTACTCAGGAGACTGAGATCTGATGATTATGGTTTGAAGCCAGCCCAGGCAGGAAAGTTTATGAGACTTATTTCTAATTAACCACCAAAAAGCCAGAAGTAGAGCTATGGCCCAAGTGGTAGAATGCTAGTTTTGAGCTCAAAAGCTTGGGGACAGTGCCCAGACCCTGAGTTCAAGCCCCAGGACTGGCACACATGTACACACACATATGTACAAACACACACACACACACACACACACACACACACACACACACACACACACACACACACACACACACACACACTAGCAACAAAGAGATGTAGTTCCATGGCAAAGTGCTAGCATGCACAAGGCCTCAAGTTCAATCCTCAGCAGCACCAAGGAACAAAAAAACAATAATAACACAAGCTCACAAATAGACAGACAAAACCCCTAGGTTTATTTGGTTGTCATTTTTTCATTTGCTATCTCCCTGCTGGATACTCAGCACTGTGCCAGGGTGTAGGGATAAATAGAAAGTCAAAGAAAAATATATGCACACATCCACACATATAGACACATTCACACACAAATCATCCATGGAGAAATAGAACTTATACTTAAACTTCACGGAAGCTGAACCAACTTGAAACCTAAAGGAATAAAACATATTTTACCTATCATCTGACTTGTGTGCCTCTTGCTGATACTTTTCTAACACATGACTTACCTGTAGTGTGGTGGAGGGAGCTGCTGGATGACATCATGAATTTTTATCAGCCTTTCTTCATCTGTTGCTGCTGAAACAGCATCCTAAAACAACCATAACGCAAAACAGTCAAATAGGCTATGTTGGTATAAATGAGAGTTATTCATTTATAATCCAGTGTTCATGCCGTGTTTAACCCTTTATTCTTTGATAATAAACCCAGGAAAACACACAATATCAAGGAGGTGCTCTGTTTTCACACTAAAACCTACTCAATTATAATTTTTTAAAATGGTAATCGGTATTAAGGGTGAAAATTTTGAGGCTCAAAGTCAGAACTAAAAGAATGGCAATGTACAAACAAAAGGCAAATGTACTAGCTAGTAATCATTTCTGTTCCTTTAAACAATCATTTTAATCTCATCCCAGATCTACTTACTATCTATGACCAAACCAAGCTTCACAGTTTGAATGGAAGTGTGCAAAGCTCTGCAACACAACTTGAGTCAAAAATGAGTGGTACTCACAGAAAATTTCTCATACAGCTGGTAGGTGAGCAGAGGGTTTGGGAGTTCTCGAAAGTACAGCTTACAGAGTGAGCCCACCGAATGAATGTCTTGAACATAAGGTTCTTTTGTCAGGTCGGGAACATGCTCAGAGTCAAATTCATGGCTAACCCAAACAGAAAAGGACAAAAAATTATTTTACTGAAGGAAAGCAAATACATAGCTTGAAAGTAATGACCCAATGTTCCCTTCTACCTCTGTGAATTGCTCTTTTCTTCCATGTTATATTTAGATATCAGCAATAATTGAACATATTTTCTTCCTAGCTAATGAAAATCGTTAGAAACTGAGATGTGGAAATCTTATCTTTTTGTGTATGTATGTGCCAAATCTAGGATATAACCTACCAGCATCTGGCATAACTTGAAAATTATAATGGGAATAATTAGTCCAAAGCATTCACATTTAATTCACTAAGAATAAATCATTACATTATAAATAGGTTGCATTTGGACTGAGAGTAAATAGGTGTCTTATGCAAGTAATTGGATGTGATACACATGTATCCTGCGTGTCTTCAATATGAGAATAGACAATAGCCTTTGAAATGAATACAGATGAGCAGGAAAAGAGGGCTCTTAATTTTGAATGGTCTGAATATCGGTATTTTGGCAATACCAGAAACCAGGATTAAGTGACCATGAACAAGAATTTCCTGAGATGCAAGCTGTATGGCCAACAAATGGTTTGCTGAAGCAATATAAGAAAAACAGAAGAAATATAATATAATGCCTAGCTAACAACAATTTTTAACAGATTATAAAATCTAGAGAGTGAGTAAAATAAGAGTAGTGCTCAAAATACTAGGGTAGATTAAATTCACTCTGCAAGAGATTAATTAATATTAACGCTCTGGCATAAGAACACTTATTATACATGGAGAAAATTAATGTTAGTGAGGAATCTGAATGTAAGATTTACTATGTCTAAATCTGAATTGTTTTTAACCCAAGAATCAACTTAAGTATTTTCTAAACATGTATCTCTTAAAACAAAGATGACCCTTGTGGTCAATTAAAATATTAAAATCCCCATAGAATAGTGGAAGTTGCCATGCACCAAAGTGAAAAAGAAACGATAATGGCATAGAGGATAGAGTAAATCCAGAAGATTAAGCACAAGTAAATTTTCATTGTGCATATAAGAAGAGACTATTATTTTTGTCTTAGATACACTGAAGAGGATATAGACTAATACATTAACACATGAGCATACACTATAGAATTAGGATCTAAGGGATTTCTTTCCTGTCAATTCTAATTAAGAGTCCAATAATCCAATTTTAATGAAGATATCATTTCTCATGTCAGTCATAGTTTCAACTTCAGTTTGATAAAACTTTTAAACCTTTTGAAAAGAAAAAGATACAAGTATTAAAGAGGTTGACTTTTTCTCTGATATTACAGATAAACACCATTTAGAAAGTTACAGAGAAAACAATATGGCTATTATTTTATATTCTATCTCAACAAACTCACTGTGACCATAGACTAAGTTATTCAACTCTGAAATAACTGCTTCAATGAGCTAATTAGGGATAAAGGAGGAAATGCCATGGAAAGTTTTACCGTAGTCTCTGGATATTAGAGGCAACCCCAGAGAGACGATATATCCCATCAACAATGCCATATCGCTCAATGAATGCTGTGCAGCTTTGAAGAACCTGGGGCACTAAAGAAAAAACATTAAAGACATAGATTACATTGCTAATATTCAGGAGAATCAATGTCATCAAAATATGAAAATGTCTTAGTTTCTATAAGCAAGATAGAATTTGTAAAGGAGCCGGGCGCCGGTGGCTTACACCTGAAATCCTAGCTACTCAGGAGGCTGAGATCTGAGGATCACAGTTCAAAGCAGCCCGGGCAGAAAAGTCAGTGAGACTCTTATCTTCAATAAACCACTCCAAAACTGGAAGTGGCGCTGTGGCTCAAGCAGTAGAGCGCTCGCCTTGAGCTGAAGAGGGCAGGGACAGCGCCCAAGCCCAGAGTTCAAGCCCCATGACAGACACACATACACAAAAAAAATTGTAAAGGAAGAAGGAAATTAATTCGCAATAAAAATGATTGGAATGTATTAATTCATTTCATATTTAAACCAGGTAATCACTTCCTGAACAATCAAGACTGGCTCAGTTGATATAGTGACAGGATAATCTCTCTAGTCTTCTGCAGCAGACTTATTTAGATAATGTGGTAGCAGGATTGTGAACTGTTTAACTCTAATGCTGTGACAGATTAAAATTAAAATATAGCTGTTCAGATAAATTCCATACCCAGCACACGATTATGTAAATTAAATGCTTATCTCAAAAACAAACTTACTTGTAAGTACTTCAATTTCTCATTTCTTAAAGCCTTTTTTTCTTTCTTTCTTTTTTTGGTCGGTCGCGGGGCTTGAACTCTGGGCTTGGGTGCTGTCCCTGTGTTCTTCAGCTCAAGGCGAGCACTCTACTGCTTGAGCCACAGTGCCACTTCTGGTTTTCGAGTGGTTTATTGGAGATAAAGAGTCTCACGGACTTTCCTGCCCGGGCTGGCTTTGAACCATGATCCTCAGATCTCAGCCTCCTGAGTAGCTAGGATTACAGACATGAGCCACCAGCGCCTGGCTAAAGGCTTCTTTTGTCTCTCCTAGTTAATGCTAGCCCTATGTTCAACAAACAAAACTCTAACATAATTGAAACTTCAGAGCAATTCAAAAGGATTTTAATTTCCTATCCTTGGTTGTTTTTTTTTTTTATAACTTCTTAAAAGTTGTTTTTTTTTTTCTTTTTTTGGGGTGGTGATGCAGGGGTTAAGGTAGGGTCTAGCCCAAGCTGGCTTGGAATTCAAGATGTTCCTGCCTCAGCCTCCAGAGTGCTAGGATTATACACAGGCCTGCTTTAACATGCCTGATTTCCTGAGCATCTCATGTAAGTCAAGCTACATTCATTACAATGTATACTCTCACTTTCACAGAAATCATATGGGAAAGTACTATCACTATTCCCAGTCTATAGAAAAGAAACTGGAACTTTAGGATATGAAGGTCTGCCCATCTGCAAACAGGAACCAGTGACAGAAATGAGATTCTAACCCAAACAGTCTAAGCACAAGACCTTTAACCAGTGCAATGTACTACCTAGAGCCTTAGGTTCTTCATCATTTATTTTAATGCTTTACTTCCATGTTTCACAATGCTAGAACAACTGAAATCTCTCTTTCCCATATAAACCATTCCATGACTCCTTTACAAAGACATTTCCTCTACTGGACTTTCATCCACAATCTTTATCATACAGAAAATTTAGGCTAATACTGAAACAGTATCACTCATGAGCCTTCATCAAATACTCAACAAGCCAAGGCAGGTGTAAAACTATGCTCCATGTGCTTACAGAATTATGTAATTTCCAAGTAGCATTTATTGGTGTACATACCACTACCTCTTCATGACTATGAGCTCTTAAAGAGCAAAAGCCAGATTTCTTCAATCTTGGACATTTAATACTTAGAAATATAGTCTTGACATAAGGGACAAAATCAGCAAGGACATTACATTACAGGTGCTCTAAGAGCTTGAAAAAGTTACCTAAGTTGGCAGGATAGGGAACTCAGGTTTTATATGGAAGTATATTTGGTTGTCTATTTCTATGTCTGAAAATGTTCAGGACTTTGAGTAACAAAAAAGGGATATGTTATGTAATAGAGATGAAGGGCAGATAGAACTGTGGGGCATTTTTATGGGATAGCTTTGATATAAGCAATCTGTGTAATTATATAGTATGTTAAATACAAATATAACATTTCTTTATAAGCTGAGTCCTGTTTTCAATATACTGATTAATAATAACCTCAGTGTCTTAGGTTTCTAGTCTATGAAACAGAATAAAATTTAGAGTTTAAATGCCTCCATTACCTAATTCAAAGGAAATACACTTAAGAGATTACTAGAATAATCAACACAATTACTTAAAAAAGGAAAAGCAGAGCTTTAATATTTTTTAGAAAGATGGTTCTCATTATGTTTGCTCCAAATTACCATATTCACCATAGTACACAAAAATTGGCCTTAGAAGAAAAACTTTCAAATACAGCATTTTGTTTCTAATATTACTAGGCTCTCCAGGCATGTGTTATATAATTTTTATAAAAATAAGCTACCTTCCCAGAAAAACAGATAACTAGATAGACTCATATTTATGTGATAGTAGATTCTTATCTGCTTATATTCTTCCAAGTATAACAGCTCTGAAAGTACAGAGGTAGAGGTCTTGCCCTGAGGAGAGGGCCAAGCATCCTCAGGAATATTTTATGGGAAACACTGAATGGTCCTTCACACTTCATGCCAAGTAAAATGGTTGTCTATAATCACATAATGACACGCAATAGATAAAATTATGTAACAATTACAATGTTTAACAAGACAAATGAGATAATTAAAATAGGTAGTAAAAATAGAAAGACATTCACTCTGACTCTGAAGAAAAGAAATAGAACAGTGTCAGAAGATGAAGAGAAGACCTGTTTTTCTTCTCCATTAATATGTATGAAAACATGAGAATTCAGCATATTATGTATTAGGAAAAAATTCAAGTTAAAAAAAATCTGAGGGGCTGGGAAGGTGGCTCAGTGGTAGAGCGCTTGCCTTGCATGCATGAGGCCCTGGGTTTGATTCCTCAGCACCACATAAGCAGAAAAAGCTGGAAGTGGTGCTGTGGCTCAAGTGGTAGAGCACCAGCCTTGAGCTGAAGAGCTGAGGGACAGTGCCCAGGCCCAGAGTTCAGGCACCATGACTGGCAAAAAAAATAAATAAATAAATAAAAATCTGATTTGTTACCCCTCACTACCCTAACCATCTAACAAGCCAACAAAATACATACAACATAATGACCCACTCAAAAAGATGACATCAGAAACATCCAAAATTTTTTTTCCAAAAGACAGTTAAGACTAGGAATTGCTCTCATGGATTCTAGACAATATATTTCTGATCTATTTTAACATGCATCATTTTTATATGTTCATGTAACAACAGAACGTAAAAAAAATTCTTAAAATTGATCATGCTTAAGTGTAAAATTACTGCTTAAAGGAACTGGCAGTATGGGTCAAATGGTAGAATTATTGACTAGCAAATGTGAAGCCCTGAGTTCAATCCCTAGAACCATCACCAAAAAAATAAAATTACTAAAAGGAGATGGAAATGTGACTTAGAGGTAGAGTGTTTGCCTAGCATGTATGAGGCCCTGGATTCAATGTGCTGCTACCACATAAACAAACAATAACAACAAAAAGAATTACTAAAAGAAGTAGGAAACGATTAAATGTAGCAAGAACTGATCATTTGCATTTCTTGGCAGTTTCAGTTTCATTTCTGTCCTTTTCATTCATTCACCATTCTTATTGATCTCTCTCTCTCTCTCTGTACCTATCGATCTACTCTTACTTATTTTGTATGTATGTGTATGTGATAGTACTGGTGCTTGAACATTGGGCTTTATGCTCTAGCTTGACTTTTTGCTTCTGGCTGGCTCTCTAACCCTTGAATTGGACTGGAGGCAAGCAATTTCCTGGTCAATTGGAGATAGAGTCTTGTAGACTTCAGCCCCAACTATCTTCAAACCATGATCCTCCATGTCTCAAGTGTTTTGAGTAGCAAGGATTACAGGTGTGAGCTAGCAGCACTCAGCTGTCATCCAGACTTTACAAAAACAAAAACAAAAAAACTGGTTCTGGGGCTTGAACTCTGGGCCTGGGAGCTGTCCCTGAGCTTCTTTTGCTCAAGGCTAGGGCTCTACCACTTCAAGCTAAGGCTGCACTTCTGGTTTTCTGATGGTTAACTGGAGATAAGAGTCTCATAAGGTCAGATAAGTTGATGTTAGGGAAATGAACCCTAAGATATGTATTCAAATGTTTTTTTCTTTCATGCTATTGTTTCTAACACATTTATAAGATTATTTCTTTGTTGCTTTGTATGTCCCTCCCCCATGGTATAACCCCTGCTTTCACTGTATTTGATGTTGTTATAATTTGTGGAGGGGAAGGGAAAAAACAAATCGTTTAAATAGGGATACAGGTGGACTCATTGCAATAATGAGATGTACAAGTTGTTATGTTGAAAACGAACTTTACAACTTTGGTGGGGGGCGGGAGGAAGGTTGGGGGAGAGGATGGGATGGGATGGGGAAACAAAGAAGGAGGTTACAATGTTTGATAAGAAATGTACAGTATTTTCACAATTAAAAAAAAAATCTGAAAGGCAAAAACAAAAACAAAAGTCTCATGAACATTCCTGCCTGGGCTGGCTTTGAACCATGATCCTCAGATCTCAGTCTCTTGAGTAGCTAGGATTACAGACATGAGCCAATGGCAACTGATTTCATCCAGATATTTTTTATGTCCTTATTACATGCCAGTATTGTGCAAGCATTGCAGACTCAAATGAAAAGTCATAGTCTTCTCCACGGAGCTGGCTTCCAAGTACAACATAGTGTAACTTAGATAAGCACATCAGGATTCTTGGTTAGGAAAATGTAATTCCTTAATGGATTGATTTTATCCTGTATCTTCCTATTGTGCTCTGATTATAATAATATCATATGCATACAATAGTTGAATAAACACAGACAAAAAACTTCAAACACAGAGTCTGAAGTCATCTCTTTTCCCTCTAGGTTTTAAAACACTTTCTATTGTTTTGTATTTAAAATATTGTTATTGTACCTGTTTTCTACAAAGTTCTCACAATGTTTTATTACCGAACTCATTTCAAATATTGCAGGAAACCGTATTTAAATTTGTTGAGAAAAATAAAACAAGTCTTATAAAAATAAAATCTATGATTATCTGAAAACTCTGTTGCATTTAGTCAAATTTTATGTCAGGCAGCACATGAACACTGAGCTTACATCTCTCACTTGTCAAAAAGAAACGATATATTGAACACCAATGGGTCATGCCTGCAATCCTAGCTACTTGGAGGCAGTGATTCTGAGGTTTGAGGGAATCCCTGAAAAAAGTTTGTGAGATCTCCATGTCAATCAATAGCTGGATAGGAGGCTAGGAAACAAAATATCTCAGATCTAGGTCAGTCTAGCCCACACAAAAAAAATTCATGATATCCTATCTCAAAAGAAAAAGCTGGATACAGTGGCCTGTGCCTACAATGCCAGCTATGGTGGTGAAGTGCAAACAGGATGATCATAGTCCAGGCCAGCTAAGTCACAAAGCCAAACCCTATCTCAAAAATATCTCAAAGCAAAAAGGGGATATAGGTATAGTTCAAGTGATAGGGTACCTGCCTAGCAAGCACAAAGTCCCAAATTCAAACCAGTTCAATTGCTAAAAATAGAGAAACATATTCAAAACTTCTAGGGTACAATTGAAAATTGCTAAATAATGATGACTGAAAGCGAAGGAGCAGCTAAGGAGCAACTAAGGAGCTCAGAACAACTTAGCAAATCACTTGATAGTTAATGATCCTACCAAGGCAAGGATGCACAATGCCAATAGATTGTAAAAGGAAAAAAAATGACTCTATAAGGAAGGATGCCCATGTAAATGACAAGTTACTCTAATCTTTGCACAAAAATACCATTAGGCAGATTTTAAAAAATAATCAGTCCTATAGGTAACTGTGATATAATCTTCATAGACTCAAATATGAGCCAGATGATGGTGTCTCATGCCTGTAATCCTAACCACTTAGAAGTCTTGAGACCTGGGATTGTGGTTTGAAGCCAGTCCAGGCAAGAAAGCCCAAAAGATTCTTTTATCTCTAATTAAACACCACAAAGCTGGAAGTGGAGCTGTGGCTCAAGTGATTGAGCTCTAGCCTTGAGCAAAACAGGCTCAAGGATAGCATCCATGTTCTGAGTTCAAGCCCCAGGACTGGCACCAGAAAATTAAAAATAAGTAAGTAAACTCAATTATGAACACTCTGAGAGTCAAAGTCCGAGAACATGCAAATAAGGCCAGATACTAAAACCACAGAATAAAGGAATTGCCTTGTCAAGCTCCTATGAGATTTTCTTGTAATACTTTGTATACCAAAAGTGGGACAGGTTTGTTACTTGTTCCAACAGGGAAGTGTTCAAAAGTTTATAAAGTTTAACAGGATAATCTCTCTAAGGTTGATTATTCACTAGGAAAACAATGAGCAGAATGAGTCACTCAGAAAACATTACTCTGATAGGGGCTGACTTCTCAGAAAAAGTCTGGTGAAAAAAAAATCTACTTTACCTAGGGGAAAATTTGTTTTGCTTAAAAACAAAAAACCCAATCCTCACATTCTTATTCTCCCAAGTAGTGCTGGCACCAGCATTCTGTCATACATTTTTAATACTGCTTCAGTGTCTGCTGTGTATTTTTCCCATCCTTTCTGATTTTGATTCCCTTCCATAATGCATTTTGATATTCTCACTGGCCAGTTATCCCATAAAAATTCTGACTTGCAAAATAATCTTCAGGGGTTTTATTGCCTTTTTATTTTTAGGGAAGTGTAATAAATTGATATTTATTTGGAAACAACATCTGCTTATATTAATATTTTCTCAACTCTCATAAAACATAGTTTGCACTGAATTCATATTATGAGACCACTAGTATCCTTTTAAGCAACAAGTAAGGTATTACTTTGGATTTGATGATATTAAAAGTATTCAATTGGTTTCCACTAGTCTTTAAAACCATAATAATTCTTTTCCTCCAGGATTCAGAGTCTTACAAAACATCTAAATCTGATCCTTACCAATATCACAAGCAGATGCCTCCTTAACATTCTATTATCAATCACTAAAGCAGAAGATAGAAAGAAATGCTAATTTAAAATATCAAAAGAGAATTATTTTCTTTCTCTCCATCCATTCATGCAACCACTAAATTCTTGATTCAGAATTTAACTTACAGAGAAAGAACTGTAAATTTTGTACCAAATTAGGAGGCTAGTTTCATATTTTATAATCTCAAAACGGTGCCTGCTTTTTCACAAAGAAAATTAATTATTTCAGGACATGAACAAGAAAATTGGCTGAAGGGCTGGGAAGGTAGCTCAGAGGTAGAGTGCTTGCCTTGCATGCATGAGGCCCTGGGTTCGATTCCTCAGCACCACATAAGCAGAAAAAGCCAGAAGTGGCGCTGTGGCTCAAGTGGTAGAGTACTAGCCTTGAGCTGAAGAGCTGAGGGACAGTGCCCAGGCCCAGAGTTCAGGCCCCACAACTGACCATTAAAAAAAAAAAAAAGAAAATTGGCTGAAGAAGCTATCTATATAGATACAAGATCTAATGCAAAGTAGCAATGTTGCTGTGACAGTTTTATGCATGTGGTGCTCTTCCTGAAGAGATCAGTAGCATCTCCATGGCAAAGTGTATTACTCTCGCACTCCTCTGCTCTACCTAGCTGAAGAAAACTCCCTGAGCAAACTCAGTGCCCTCTGCTGAAGTGAAATGAAGCAGCCACCACTTGTCTTGCCTACTCTGTACAAGTTATGCAAAGCCAATACAGAAAGTATTGGTATTACAAGCTTATAATTACTTTTACCTTCAAAACCAGAATTCAGAAGGTGTTCTCCCAGGTCACAGCCAAACACTCTCTCTTTCAAGATCCCTCGCTGCTTTAGCTTCTGTTTTGTTGGACGAGACTTCATGAATGTTCGCAAGAAAGTGATGAGCTTGCCGTGCTTTTTAGACACTAAAAATGTAGTAAAGAGAAAATATCGTGGTTGTGACAAGAGATTATTACCCTTTACTTAGCATGAAAAGAAATAGACATCTGCAAGCCTGACTGTAAGATAACTACAAACACTTTGTACTTTGTAGGTAAATTTCAGAAGGTTAGCTAAGAGTTATGTTAAAAAAAAATAAAAACTTCATAGTTTTATACTTTGGTTTTACTTGATAGCACTGCAAATTTAATGTCGCAATCCACGATTTTAAAATTAAGTTTGGTAAACCAGTTGCCCTCCTAATGCATATTTAAGGATGCCACAGTATTACAAGGACCTGAGCTTTATTCTAATACAATACTTCATATAAAGCCTTAACAGGATGTAAAAATGGATTACATTTCTAGTCAATTTCTAAAATACTTTTCTTGATAGTGAACAATTTCATAGCATTTGTAATATGCTTAGTATGAATTTAAAACGTAAACTCCTCTTTCTCTTTCTGCAAAGAGAACAATCTTATGATGGTATAAAGAAGTACCTAATGGTATATGTAAATACAACACACACAATTACACTATCAGATCTTCTATCACAACTCATCTAAATAAACTAAATACTAAATAAACTAAATACTTAAATCCTTGGCAGATCAAGACAGGACATAATTACACTGAAGTGTACTTAAGTTTGACAATGCTTGGAAACTGCATAAAATTATAATCTCCCTTGCATATAACATTTTTGCTATAAACTTAATGAGAGGTTCTTAACTACTAGTAAGACATTTATAGAATACTTGGTTAATTTCAACAGCCACATGTACTGTACCTTATGGGCTATGGGTTTTATTTTCTTAGTTGCCAAGTAGATTGTTTATTATGAGTCTCTTTAAGGAGTAGCCATTAGACCACTTGTGCTCATTTTCAAATACTTTTCACTTGGACTTTTAGATAATTTTAACAAAGTCGTAAAAAATAAAGTAAATTTGATTTGTAACAACACATAATAACTTAGAATTTTAGTTTTGATAACATTCATTATTTCTACATGGAAACAGGGTAGATTTTTTTTTTATAAATCTTTTATATCTCTCAGTGAAGCATCCTAACTTTTTAAATGAAAGGCTACATTCCATGTTTTGTTTGTATGTTTATGGTTGGTCATGAGGCTTGAAGTCTGGGCCTAGGTACTTTCCCTCAGCTCTTCAGCTCAGGGCTAGCACTCTATCACTTGAGCAACAGTGCCACTTCCAGTTTTCTGAGTGGTTTATTGGAGATAAGAGTCTCACAGACTTTCCTGCTCAGGCTGGCTTTGAACCTCAATCCTCAGATCTCAGCCTCCTGAGTAGCTAGGATTACAGGCATGAGCCACCAGCACCTGGCATTTTATTTGTTTTTGATATTGCTAACTGTCATATGTTTCAGCTGATCCTACTGAATTGGTATGTTAGAAAATATTTTTTATGTATGTATGTACCAGTCCTGAGGTTTGAACTCAGATCCTGGGCACTGCTCAAGGCTCTACCACTTGAGCCATGGTCTCTCTTTCAGCTTTTTGGTGGTTAATTGGAGATAAAAGAGTTTCAAAGATTTTCCTGCCTGGACTGGCTTCAAACTGTGATCCTTACATCTCAGCCTCCTGGATAACTACAATTACAGGGGTAAGCCACTGAGCACCCAATTGAAAATAATTTCTTATAGTTACAGGTCACAATCTGATCACTCTTAACAATTTTTGTAGGAATTAAGTGGGTTTGTGTGTGTGTGTGTGTGTGTGTGTGTGTGTGTTTTACTAGCATGTATTAATTTTATAAAATAAAGAGTTTCATTATTAGCTACTAGTATTTGTAGGATAGGAGTAATTTCTTGTTTCTTTCTTTCTTATTTCTTTATTTTAAAATAGTTTCATTATTAGCTACTAGTATTTGTAGGATAGGAGTAATTTCTTGTTTCTTTATTAGACTTTCTAACTGGCCCAAGTTTTTAAGATTTATGCTAACAGCAGGCATTCATAGTATGATGCTAAATTTGATTAAAGTATTCATTGAATTTGACAACTGCATATGATGTATACAAGAACATATTTTTTGTCATATATTTCTAAGACTGTTTCAAAGGAAAGGGAATTGAATTTTTATTAGCATTCAGTCTGCAACAATATCTGAGTGCCTACTGTACCTCAGAATATGTTCTAAGCCCTAAAGTATCAGTGGGAAACAAGAAGGACAAGTTCCTTACTGTCACAGTGCTTCTTCAGGAGAGACAGAAAATGAGCCATTCAATAGCATTTATTCTCCACTTAGTATGTGTACAGAACTGCGAGCTTATATTTCTCTACCATTCATTACTTATAGCATTCTACATGGAAATACTATTATCCCTATTTCAGATGAAAAAGTTGAGGCAGAAAATATTGATTTAACATGCTCAAAGTCACAATCACAGTGCTTCCTTAAGGAGGTCATATCTGAGCTGGAACCCGGGGGAGTCAATGAGCCCGGAAGACAGTGCACATGACTGGGTGAATGAGGGTAAGGGCTAGGACTATAGGCTATAACAGAGTACAGGTTCTATGCAATGCAAACATACTAAATGGTTAATCAACTGGGCTCCTTAACAGCAAAGAAGGGCATTTCTTTCCCATCAATTAGCAATGTCATATCTAGAATTATTGGTTGAAATTAATTATACATTGATCTTTATAATTCATTGAAACAGATGGATACATATTTTTAATTATGATCTAACCATCTAACCTCATATATAATAAAATTCCATTAGTCAGAAGGCAGTCTATGAACAACTGGTCTTTCTTTCTAGGACATTAATTCTGCTTCTTGGCTTGCTAACTGGATCAGAAACAAAGATAGTTGGCTATCTTTCCACATTAGGGAAAAGGCTGTACATTTATTTTTTTCTAAATGGTGACATGAACTCTAACTAATTAAGAGCTCAACAAAGCACAAAATACAGACATGGAGGGTGTCACCACAGTGCTGTGCCCTCACATGGCACTCAAGGGCTCTGGGAAATGGTGCTGATGAACATGTACTCCTGGCTTCCACTCTCCGTGACCACCTTGCTCTTGTCACCTTTCCCATATCCTGTCTTGGAGTGGTAGCAGGAAGACAGACATGATTCCTTCTTACTGATCTAAATACCAATCTAACACATTGACAAAAATAAAGATATTCATGATGATGACTATTTTTAGTCATCAGTGATTTCTAAACTTTCAAAGGAAGACTAAACTATGCTCTGCATATTTGGAGTTGCTGTTACTCAGGTTGTAACTGGCACTTTTACTCACTGCAGTAGATAGTTGTGATGGGAAGTTCTGGTGTTCACAATTACAAAGCCAACTATCAATACAGTAATTGATTACAAATTTAAACTAATAGAAACATTCAATTTAGTTATATTCAATTTTTTCTTTTTAATGTTTTTTTATTGTAAAACAGTGTACAGAAGGGTTACCTTACATGAGTAAGGTAATGAGTACATTGCCTAAGGAGCATTGTTACCTCCTACTTTGTTTTCCCCCTACTATCCCTTCCCACCCACCTCCACAGCTCCCTCCCCACAAAGTTGTAAATTTGTTTTCAACATAGTGTCTTGTACATCTCCTTGTTACAGTGGGTCAACCTGTATCCTTGTTTCAGCATTTTGTTATCTCCCTTCCCCTCCTCAAATTAGAAAAATGTATATACAAGATTCAGGGCACCGAATTTTTGAGGATCTAGTAGCATTTCTAATTACAAATGTGTGTTCTATTGATTTTCTTTATTTTAAACTTTCTTCTCATTTCTTAGCCATTAAAGTGACACCCAGAGTTCCATTAAAATGCTAAGAAATGAGAAATGGAACTTATTTTGGACATAGGCACTCTTTCCACCTCCCCATTGTCTTCCAGTTCAATAGTGCTAGTGACTCCTTTTTGAGAAACACTGTAATGCAGAATGGGGAGTCAAGCCATGAGGGTCAAAGTCCACCAAACACGTTGATCTGAGGCCATAAAATTATAACAATGGTATTTCACAGATAAAATACACCAAACAATAAGCAAAAAATTATACTCTGAAAATCATATCATTTTATATACAAACTTCTTATTCTAGAGGCAAAAATACATTTGTGCACAAAATTAGCTTGTCCATAGCTGTTTAGCTATGACCACGATTTCTTAAAACTTGAAGCAAATCCTGTTGGACCAGTTTTTCTGGAAGTTGCAAGACTTAACAGTATGACATATGACTTTAATATCAACAGGTAACTCTTTATGATACCAATAACCAGTTTATAGCAAGACAGTAAAACATATATTCCATAAAACACAGTGAACTTTGACACAGAAGTAGGACACTGCGGCTTTAATTACACAGGTGTAATAGTTCACCAGCAGTCCAAAAGTTGTCTTGTGTTCTCATAGTACTTCCCCAAATAAAAGAATCAGAGTTCTTGGAACTGATTCTCAGAAATCTTCTAGATTAACTTACTTGTGCTTCGATTACTTTCTACAGATAGGAAAAAAAGATGGTTTGTGTCTAGAATCTGGCTTTAGGATTTTCATTTAATTATACATCTCAAATTGAAAACTCAGAAAGTCAAGCAAACAAAATTGCAGGGTAATGGTAGTTCATATATATTAACATACATATAACACATAGAACACCCATGGAGCTTGCTCTGACTAAAAGCAATGATGCAGTAGAGTATGAGTGCCATGCTTGTATAGCTTAAAACCCATGAAATTTTACATATGATATTCAACATCAGGTCTCAGGTCATGCTAAGGTCTCACTTTAGATGACCATTCCATGGAAATTCAATAGAAGAGACTATAAGCATAGGCAAATACCCTGCATGATATTTAAGATTGTTTTAGAACCTCCCAAATCCTATCATTCTAAATAACTGATGTCCACTTTGATATTTTATATATGTCAACAGGAAAAGATTTGAATTTGGAATTACTAAAACTTGTTTTAATGTAATATATAACATTATCTACTTACACTAGAGAA